CGAGGGGGTCTAGAAGCGCGGCCCCGCTTGCTCGCGCGCGCGCGCGCGCCCTCCTGGTCTCCCGCGTCCCCGGGCGCGGCGCCCGCCTTCTCCTTTCCTCCCCTTCCAGGCGCCGCCTCACCTGAGGCCCAGACGGGGAGAGGCCCGCAGACCTCGTCTGACAGGCCCTGGAAGGAGCACCACCCTACCCACCCTCCAGACCGCTTTTTCCCTCTTAACCCTCCCACCCGGCCACCCCATGCCTACACCCCTACCCCGCACACCCAACTGCACTAAACTGCCTCTGCTCTCTTGTCTTCAGACAGCCCTGACACCATGCTCCAGCCCCCTGGGAACTGAATCCAACACGTCCAGCACTTGGCATTGAAGTGAAGCAATGAAGTCTATCAGAACTCTGGGCCGTCTAAGCTTCTCCAGCGGCTGCCAGGGACTGCTCACTCCCCGGAGCCAGCGGGCTTGCCCTCGCTGCCAGGCGGGCCGCGGCAGTTCCAGCTTCCTGTTGCCTTAGGGACGGAGACAAAGAAAAATGAAGAGACCCCAGACATCTTCCCCCTCCCTCCCTCTTGCAGCAGGGAGCTAGCAGGACGCTAGGACCAGTCTGTGGTCTAGAATGGACTTCATGGGGACTGAAGGGGGGAGGGAAGCTGCAAGGGGAGGGGAAGATCTATGACCCCAACTGTATGCCTTTCTGGCATCCCGCTGTCATCCCAAAAGTAACTGGCCTGATTTTTAGCAGCGTGGCCATCTTCTGGTGTGCGTAACCGTCCCTGGGTGTGTCCCCTCCATACCTCCAAATGCCTCCCCTGTATCGATTCAGTTGCCATGGCAGCTGTCTGCTTCATGTATGGAACAGGAGGCTCAGACGTTTCCCTCCCCTGTAACCTGGGGAATATCAGAGGCAGGTAATAAAGGTTGTTTAAGCAATAGCCTAAGACTCTTCTCTCAACGATCCCAGCCTTGAGACCCAGTCCTATACAGAAAAGGAATCTTTTATGCTTTTGAAAATGATGTTTAGATTTGAGGGTTGGATTGTTGCAATATTTAGATCTATATATTGAATTCCAATACCACAGATGTGATTGTGGGTGAAGAAAAGGTTGATATGGTTAAATGGGTTTTTTTTTTTCCAGCTATTTCAAAAGTTGTAACTGCTTTCTTCTTTTTTTTTCCCCTTTAATTCTGAACCACTTTGAAATATCACGGTGCTAAGTAAGGGTTTCCCACTTAAGTAGTTTTTCAGGATACACTTAAAAAAGTCTTTTCATACCCATCCCTATTAACTATTATCAAAGGTAAGTTTTAGAAGCCACCTTTGTAAGTCTTTTTTTAAAAAAAAATGTAATGTTTATTTATTTTTGAGACAGAGCATGAACAGGGGAGGGGCAGAGAGAGAGGGAGACAGAATCTGAAGCAGGTTCCAGGCTCTGAGCTGTCAGCACAGAGCCCAACGCGGGGCTTGAACTCACAGACCGTGAGATCATGACCTGAGCCGAAGTCGGGAACTTAACTGACCGAGCCACCCAGGTGCCCTTCCACCCTTGTAAGTCTTAATCGTGTGGCTTATTAAAAGAGAAAAATCCATCAAATGGTGTACATCTCAAGTCAGAGGGACAATGCTTCAACTAAACCATCTTAGCCAATGATGGGTAAAGCTACAGGTGCATGTTTATTGGTTTATTCTCCTTGTCTCAAGAAGTGATCAGAACTTGCCTGCTTAGTTAGGGCTTAAATGCTTATACTGATGGTGGCTGTTTGGGTTTCATCAAACACAGATAAAAATCACCTTTTAGCATCAAGCCAACTTGTTTAAACACAGCTGGTTTCTGTGACAGCAAGGCAAGCATATTATGGGGCACTTAAATGAGTTGATAGTACATAAACCTCATTCAAGGCATTGGTTTTGACCTTGTAGCCCATCTGGTATTTTACTGGAGCTATTAAGTTAAATGAACTTACTTTCATTTTTAGGATCCACTCCTTGAAGATAGATTGGCGTTGCCCAATTGGCTGATCTCTAGTTTTGTTTCAGCGTTAAGGCTGTGCAGGTGGGGGCCAGGGGTTAGGCAGAAGTCCAAGACAATGACAAGAAGAGAGGGGATGCTGTGAGAGCCATCATGGCGGCCAGGGTGGGATGTACAGGGAGGGCACAGATACCCAGCTATGCTAGGGGCATGTGAGAGGAACAATCCCCAGCCATGTATTTCAAGTACAACCATGACCATCATTTTTCTTGCATAAATGGGGACACAGGGTTGTTCTGACAATGCAGCGTAATCACTGGTTAGGTGTTGACAAATCGGTACCATTTTTCATAGACATTAAACATCTTGCCAAGATTTATATATAAAGGAAGCTGGGAACCACTGGGACGATGCCCATAATTAACATTAATTGCCAGCTGTGGGCAAACAAATCCCACTGCAAAAATATTTCTGTTTTTAAAAATATTATTTTTTTAAATGATGATTACAGTACCTGTGAAGAACACGTAGCAAGAGGAGTGACAGAACTCTCCCAGTGAGAAAAGTGACCTGGCCCGGGGAGAGCGATTTGCTCTACTGTCCAGTCACTTTTTCCAAATACATTCAGGGTTGAGACTGTGTCCCAGAGAGTAAAGTTTCCCAGAAGCCTGGGCACTCGAATCTCTACCGGCTAATGGGGGTGTCAACAGCATGGAAGGGATCATATTGTGGTCGGCAAAAGATAGAAGAAAGGACAACCAGGGCTTGGCAGAAAGGACAACCTGAATAGCCTGAGCTGACTGTACAAGTTGAGAAAATGTTAGCCTTCTCCTGAATGTGATTCTAATAAATTGGAGTGAGTTCTTTTATCAACCCACCCGGCAAGTCTATTTCTTCTGTGTAAGCAGATCCTGTTTTAGGTCAGGTCAGATCGTTGCTCCATAACAATAATGAAGAAAAAGACCCATGCTTCCTTAATTGTTAGCTCGAGGCTTCCAACAGAGCACGACTAGGAGATGTTTTGAGTTCCAATGTCTGGAAGTGCTCATTGACAGCGCAAAAATAAACAGAAACTTTTCTTCCATTATGCACATAGTTCTGTGTTGTCTACTGATTGACTTTTCTACAGGGATATAAATGGGGTCTTTCATTAGTTTGTAGTTACCATCTTCTCCTTTTCAATTTGCCATCTCTTTTGGAAAGCAAGCATCTGCACATGATTTGTACCAGCAAAGAGAAAAGGGACTGGGCAGCTTTCCAAACTATCTTGCCTGATGGCTAAAGCAAATGCCCCACAGTGTGGTGGAGAGCACAGGACCAGAATCAGAAGGACTGAGGTCCAGCCCTGGCTTTGCCAATTAGATGGCTTCGTTTCTCAGAAAGAGCTGCTTAACCTTCCTGGGCCTGTCTCCACAGCTGTGGGGATTTGAGGATCAAGTAAGATCATGTATGGGAAAAAGCTAGACCTATAACAGCTATCGAAGCATAAGGCATTAAGTTTATATTTTCCCTTTCCTTCCTTGGGGCAGTGCCTTTGGATAGTTGTGTGGGTGGAAGGTGGGGCAGGGGAGAGAAAATGCTCCACCATGTACAGTCTGCTCTTATTGCTTAAAGAAGAGGATTGTAGGGACTTGGCCACTGGTTCCTAGATTTCTGAGCTGATCTCCCCCATTCTCAGAATCTTGGATGACTAGGGATCTGTGCATAACTGTCTCCCCATCCTATTCATTCCCTTTACTCATAGGCCCACAGTGCCCTCTTTAAAAAAAATACGACAATTAATACTGTGTATTTTCAGGGTTCCACCAAGACTGGAATGTAGACTTTGAAGACAACAGGTCAAGGACTGAGAGAGGGCAGAAGAGAAGAGAAGGAGGGGAAGGAATCACAGGCTTCATGAGGGAGCTAGGAGGAAGAGCAATCTAGAATGTTCTATGAAGGTAAGGGAGCATGACTGAGGACCACCAGGGTGAATGGGTTATGGTGATCAATGGCCAACCCTAGGTGAACTTGAATCACCTATCAAAGTGGCTTTGGGAGAAGAAGCTGGATGAGAAGTCACTTTTCAACCCCTATTGTTACTTACCACAACCTACAGCCTATGCAGGAAGACAAAGTGATTAAAGCAACTCTTCCTTCTGTGCTAGACCTCAGAGCATAGTACATGAGGCATACCAAGCTCTCAGAGAAGGCAACCTCTGTCTTTTGGCAATCTGTCCCTGGTGTTTGTCCATGACCTCTTTCTCTTGGCCAAATGTTTGGCATATTCTTTCTTTAGCCTCTTCCTTATTTTTCTTAGTACACTGTTTCCTCAGAATAGTACACCCATATTCATGTTGCAGGACACATGGCATACCGAGACACTGAACTTTGCACACTTAGGTCCTAGGTGACCCCACCAGTCCCTCAATCAGCTGTGTTTTGATGGAGGGCAGGGTCTTGGTAAAAACTGTGGCCTGGGCCTCTTCCTCTGAAGAGAATACACTCAGAGCAGACAGGGAGATACCTCAGTTACATTTTTTAAAAAATGTGGTAAAATATACATAAGGTAGGGGCACCTGAGTGGCTCAGTCCAGTAAGCGTCCGACTTTGGCTCAGGTCATTATTTCCCAGTTCATGGGTTCGAGCCCCCATCAGGCTCCATGCTGACAGTGCAGAGCCTGCTTGGGATTCTCTCTCTCTCTTCTCTCTGTCCCTCCCCTGCTCTTGCACTCTCTCTGCGTCTCTCTCAAAATAAGTAGACATTAAAAAAAGATTTTATAATAGATCACTCAGGACAAGATAAAGGTGAAGCCCAAGGAAAGAATCCCTAGTTGTGGATTTTGGTGAAATCGGAAAAGGGCAATATCTTGAAATGTTTATGTGTGTTGCAGAAGGTGCTTGGGGGAGGGCTATACGGTACTTCCCACGGCGTCTCAAGTCATATCCTCCTCTTACTACCAGATGCTCTCAGAACCCTGGGGAAGACTAGGGTGGTCAGTAGGGAGCCACTAGGTGGCTTCCACTGTGAATTTGCTGAATTCCCACATACCTGACCCACAAGATGTCCATTCATGAGAATACCTCAGGTCCCTGAGGAAACAGGGGGCCTCCCTTTGGCTCTTCTAGGATCTCAGTGTGATCTAGCAGGGAGGGGTTGCAGCTCCAGCAGGCCTGGAAGAGAAAGAATGGAGACAAGAGGCACGCTAATTTCACTCCTTTTCTCACGCACAGCTCCTCTGGGGGCACTGTGGTCAGGACCAGCCTTTGGCAAAACTATGGGACTGGTATTTATCTTATATTGTCCCTTCCTGTTCCAAGTGTCATCATCACTTGCCATGCCAGTCCTCCAAAACTGTTCCTTCCCTGCT